AGTCAACTTCTGAGATCGTTGTCTCCGGGTGCGCCGGTTGACGTGGGCTTAGGTGGGAACCTGGACGCTGAGGTGGCGTACGGCAACCATCCTAGCGCGTTACTGCACAGAGATCCGATCACAGACAAAGTGGTATCGGACGTGATCTTGGGGCGTGCGTTGGTTTTCGATGTTCGGTTTATCCGAGAAATCTTAGGTGTTAGAGTGTCGCCGTTGGGCGTCATCGACAAACCGAAGTTCAGAATAATTCACGATCTCACGTTCACCTCCGGCGTGCCCATCCGTACCAGCGTAAATCACGATACAGACTTTGATCAAGCACCCGAATGCCTCTTGGGTCATGTTTTGAGTGATATTCTGAAACGGGTGCTGTATTTGCGACAAGTACACGGCGTGTCGTTGGAAATTATCATCTGCCGCATTGATGTGAAAGAAGCCTTCCGACAAATCCCGGTGGATCCGTCTCGGGCATTGGTTTTGGGTACACTATTGGCGATCACGCGGTTGTTGACCTACGGTGTCAATTTGGATGGCGGTCGAGCCCAGGGTTTTGGTCCTTGTTCTCGTCCGCGTTGGAACACTCACACACACACACTACATTTCAAGACGCGTCCGTCTCTCCCGCCGGTGCTGCGGCTGTGCAGCATGTTCAAGTAGTGTCCCCACCAGACGAAAGTACAGCGGTGCCGTTACCTGTTGATTGCCAGACTATTGTGGGCGACGGGGCGTTTGCTGGTTCTCCGTTTTTCGTGCGATACTACGTTGATGATGGCGTGTTGATTGAAGGGAGATTTTCCGCTGATGGCCGCCGATGCTTGCGCGCGGTGCGTTCTCTCGCTACGGATCACTTTCGTCTGCTGGGAGAAAGATTACCATGACCGACACGAAACAGCAGAAACTGGGACGCATATTGGCTGCGTGGCACGCGACGCGGAAAGTCGCTACAGCTCGTCAAGTACCTGAGTTGACAGGGTTTCTTATGCACGTTTCGTTCGTGTTGCGGCCAGGAAAGTTCTTTGTGGGGCGCCTTTTATCCGCGGTCGGGATGCCCGCTTCGTCTACTTTCGCGTCCCAAGTGCCAAACCCGAACAGACGTGTAGTGCTGGGTCCATTATTCCACGATGACCTCGAATTTTGGCGGTGGTTCCACAGGCGTGGTCTCTCGTTGCGCGGCGGAAGTTTGTGTGCACCCATGTACAAAATTTTGGATCGCCCGCCTGACGCCCGCCTGCACTATCCGTGTTCACCGATGCGTCTAAGCAAGCAATCGGAGGGTATTGTTTGCAAACGGGCCACTACTTTCGATATGATCTGTCTGTGGAAGAGCAAGCTTGCTTTGTGGGGTCGAGCAAATCGGTCCAGGGGGTTCATGATGTCAGCATCAACGTGTTAGAGCTCCTTGGCATGGTCATGGGGGCATGGGTGTTGGTATTGGGCCAAAGTCACCAGCCTGTGGAGGCGGGTGATTGTGTGCGCCTTCGAGGAGACAATGAAGCAGCGACGGCGTGGATTGAGCGTTGTCGGGGGGGCCTTGAGCCTCGATCGGGGGCGCTGGTGCGCCTACTGGGGGCGCTGGAGGTAGCCAGCGGGTGGCATTTCCACGCGACCCATGTTCCCGGCATACTCAACTCGCTTGCTGATGGTATCTCCCGTTGGAATACTAACGATGTTCACGACAACCTGTGCTCTGCCTCCCCTCATGTGGCGTGGCAGATCGTGGAGTTAGGCTCGAAGGAGCGCGAGTTGTGCTCCACCGTGCTGGCTTCGAGCTCGTCCGGCACGCACTTGCGCCATCGTCTGAACGAACTTACCTGGGTTTGTTTTTGGAGCGTGGGTGAAGTTTCGAGAGGACGTTGTGGGGAGACCGGCGTTTATGATGCCGTCGTCTCCATCGCCGGACATTGTTTCGCAATTGTTGGAGTACGTGGCATACGCGTTCACGGTGCTGGGCTTGAGGCAGACGACGATAGCTGGTCATTTGTCTGCTGTTAATTTTTTTCATCGTTTGGCGTATGCGATGGAAGTTGATACATGTCATTCTTTGATCAAGCAAGCGCTCAAAGGGGTGGCGCGAGGGCATGCGGGTGTTGGTGCGCAGCAACGGGTGCGACGTCCGGTGTCGTGGTCGATGCTGCAGGAAGGGGGGCGTCTGGTGCCACAGTGGGGCACGGGTGGGCGCGAGTTGTTTCTGGCGTTGAGTGCGTCATTTTTTTTCTTGATGCGGGCATGCGAAATGTTCGCTGTGTCCTCGTTGGCCATGGATTCTTGTCATGGGTTGCGTCGGGGGGACGTGGCGTTTTTTTTGGGTTCTCGCCAGTTGCCTCCGGAACGGAGGGGAGAGGCCGACAGAGTCGAGGTGCGGTTTCGGTCGTCCAAAGGCGACCAGTTTCGGAAGGGCGCCGTGTGTACGCGGGCGAGGCCGGGGCCTCCCCAGTCTGTNTCAGTTTCGGGAGGGCGCCGTGTGTACGCGGGCGAGGCCGGGGCCTCCCCAGTCTGTGGA